TTTTAAATTCTGTCGACGTACAGAACAGGAGGTGAAAGGTATGTTTGCACTTGTTACTCTTTTTTTATACTCACACCTTTTCCTGTCTCTAATGGGAAATGGAAATAAACCAGTTGTAATTGTTTTTTTTTTTCCTCATTTTAAGTAGGGAATGAGGAGGTTAGTGGATATGGGAATTCATGTTCTTAATGAACAAATTTGGAACTATATTATTATTGAAATAATTTCAGGATAAGGTGAAAATAGGAAAATTGACAAACTATATGACAGAACTAGCAACAGAGGTTAGACGGAAAAGCTTTTGTTGAAACACAAGCTTAACAAAGGAATAATAATTAGATAAGGGGAAATTGCAGTCAAGTTCAATTGATTATTTTTTATTAAAGTAAATATCCCAAATAGCACAAGTCGGTTAATCGAAGAGAAATCTTGCACCAAGCAGGCATGATTCTGGCATGGTGCTGGCATCAATTTAAATCCAGCACCATGCCAGAGTCACACCAGCTTGGTGCCGGATTTGTGATCGATTAACCGACTTGTGCCATTCGGGTATGGAAGTAAGGAACAAGTAACAAGCCTCGTTTTATGAAAAATAGAAGTGTTTTTTAACCAAACATTAATATTCATTAGAACTGCAATAAAATCAAATCTCAACTTCTATTAAACTTCTATTAAATCATCACATCCTCAAGCCATCATCATCCTGCACCAACCTTTACATTCTCACATAAAAGTCTATCCAAATATACTCAAAAACTCAAACAAACCAAGTTAAACAAGAAATTTTGCATTACATGAGTTTCCAAACTCAAATTTTAACTTCACCTTCCTTTAATTAAGTCAGTTGCTAGCATCTGACGGAAATGATGATTTTTCATGTAAAATAAACGGAAGTTGTGCAAATGTTTAACTTTTCTATAAAAAATCTCATAAATGAGGTAAATGAAGACGTGAATCATCAGATTAAATATTTTTAAGTATTTTTAATTAAACGGGATTTTTTTCCAGTCAGAAAACTTTACAGTAACAGTAACAGTTGGTTAATTACAATGAGCAGGTCAAAAGGGATCTGAATAATAATTTTTTGTTCCGGATTTTAGAGTTAAAGAACATTATCCTGAAACTGTGCGACTGACGACAAGCTCATTTCAAATGGAATTTCTTTTTTTATTTCGACCATTTTATTCAGCACAGTTTCTGCTCATACAGATAACTCAAATGATGCGATAAAAAAAATTAATTCAGAGGAAAAAGTTTTTTAATTACCGTTAATCATGTTTCCATCTATACCGTACGTAATTATGCAGGGATCTCATCCGGTATTTAAATGTGGAAATGAAGTTTGTTTGATGAGAATGGTGGCTGATGACTATTTTGACTGTAGAGAAAGAGGTTTGAGGATTAAGGTTTGGGAATCGATTTTTAAGAACTTCAATCGTAGATAATTGATTTGTATGCTGCGTAGGAATGGACCAGAAGCTCTTCCATTAAATGGATAGCTGAGGATACTTCACGCAACATCACTCGGCGGTAAAAGCTAGTTATAACCCTAAGGTGCTCAGTTCTTAATAATATTCCTAATATTTAATGCCCCCTAGCTTCTGCATAGAACTCATTCAAGTCCTTAACTTGCTCATATGTCACAAAAACTCTTTGAGGTTTTTCCTGCCATTTCCATCAAAATTTATCTGCTGTACACCAAAATTAAAGTCATAAATGGCAGTTAAAAAAGTGGAAAAGTTGCACGGTGTGCCATAAAAAAGACACATTGACAATAAATTTTAATAAAATTGCTTTAAATACGTTTTACGTTTCAACCATTTTTTTTGTGTCGTCTTCCAACCAGTTCCAATATGAAATCATGTCAACTATAGATATTTATTGACTGCTTAAAAATTTATTGATATTGCTCAAATTATTTATGGATTGTTTACGATGTCACGACTCAATTGTGGCGCTTAGTAGATAGGTGAGTATGGTTGAGGGTTGTGGATGTATATTTATGCGTTCGATATCTCTCTTTATTCAAAAAAAAATAAAATAAAGTATATACAGTCATGGATGCGACAACAACAACAAAACTATTCAGCATTCGTAAACAGAAAAATATTTTACAACACTTTTTTTTATTCAGAGATTTTTTGTGCCTGATTCTCGGTTAATGTTAAAAACTTTTGCAATTTTCAATGGTACTTAAAATCAACTTCCTCTTCCTCTATCGCGTGATAGTTTCTCATTCCACTTTGTAGCAATTTTCAATTCACAGCGATTTCAGCATAAAAATTCTCACAAATCCAATTAAATGAAGGCAAAAGAAGATCGCAATAAAAGCGTCTTATGTCAGCAGAAAAAAAAAATTCAGCACAGAAGCGTAAGTAATTAAAGAAAGAATAAACAATAAACAGACGACGAAAAAAAAAAATTGGTGAAAAATCACGGGAAAAAATAATCGGATTATCATGGAATTACGTGTCTATGTGTGAGGGAAGGATTTTGGTTCTTTACTTGCTTCCATTTTTAAGGTAACTAATTTTCTTTCATTTATTTTGTTATCATACAATCTTAATTTGTTAAAATAATTCTGAGAAGGAAATTGATAAGTAAGGGAGAATATGAAGTAATTATTAGTGGTACTGAGCGTCAGTTCTTACATGCTGCATATTAAAAACAGTTGAAATGGAGTCAAAGCAGGTCTGCTCATTTAAATTTTTTGACCCAGGTTCGATCTGTGTCTAGAAATAATATTTCTTTAGCATAGGCTATGCCTAGATAGACACGAATGTCTACAATCAGGCAATACCTAGTCTCAGACGGATCTTTTAAGTGTGAATGCCTGTGCTTTGAAAGTGTCTGAATAAGGCTTTGTCTAATGAAAGACGTGATCTTCTTCTACTTATTTTCTCAAACCTAGTTATTCAACAGCACAAGTAAGTAATGATTTAGACTATCAAACCCCATCCTTACAAGAATACAACCCAGTTTGGTCATCAAAAATAGACAATCTGCTTAAATAAACCCCTCAAATTTCCTCCAAAATTCCCCAAATTTGTTTACTCTCCTTAATCCGAAAAGGTTTTATCACGAAAATTGAAGCAGGCAAAATGAGACAAGACAAAAAAAAAATTCCATGTGCCTTTTTCCTTTTTCTTCACAAGATAATTATATTACACGAGTGCCTGTTTATTTGTTATTTGCATCAAGATCACTGATAAGATGATGAAATAAGGATTGACGGCAAGGAAGCCCCATCATACCTTATAATAAGAAAGACAGAAGTAAATAAGACACTTAGGGATGGAGGGATGCAAAAGTAGAAAGCAAACAATATTTAATTAATCTTCTCTTGATTACGTTGAATGACTTTTTCTTGCTGTTTTATTTGCTAATTATTTCTAAGGATTGCAATTATTGCTGCTTTATCATTGATTTATTGTGGAAGTTTTTTGAGGAATGATTTGGAAAATAATGGATTGATTGATTTGGTCCAGAAGTTCTGATGTTGTTGACTGGATCTTGGAAATTTGTTGACAAAATTAGAAATCAAGATGGAAATATAGCTAGAACAGGATAAGGAGCGGGAGGAGCATAGTTCCAATTAGTCGATCTATAGACCAGAATGTAATCAAACCTATGACTCATTATCAATCAAAAAAAAAAATCTTCAAATTTATTCAAAAAATGATTTTCAACCTCTCCATCCATTCAACTTATCATCTTCAAGTTAATATTCAGCATTCAACACAACCAAGAACACCAGCAAGGTAAGACACAAGTCACAATTTAATGAAAAATTCTTCATCCTACGTGTATCATCAAATTGCAAATATGTGTGCATACATATAAAGTAAAGCGAGTAGTAATAATAGAAAATAATATAAATGATTATTCGGCTCCAGGCAGTCGGACGTAGAATACACACCGGTTTTCAGAAGGGTGTTTCTCTTTTAGGATTTTTCCTTTTCCTCCTTACATTTTTTCCTCATTTCTTTTTCTCACTTTTGCCATTTTATTTATCACACATATTGTGTATTGTGTACAGCATAAGAGGATAGCATGTTGAGAAATGAAAATTCTGTCTGTTTTTATTTACGCCATGAATTGTGAATGTAGAAAAAAATGCCTTTCGGTCTTTGCTGTCTATTATTCCTTCTTTTTCCATAACAATGCACATAAAATCATAAATCTTAATCTAGGTGAATCATGGAGGATTATTGTGATATTTTTGCTGCAAGGTAAACACTCGATGCCTTACCTCTTGTACTATACGATTGTCCTAAACATGATGACTTCGTGATAAGAATAGCAATGTCTCCAACTTGCTTCAATGTAAAAAGCCTTTCGAATATTGTTGATTGTTATCTCACAGTATGAATGTTTATGCTGATAAATTCGTGTGGGAGGTAAAGAAGTAAATCACTTTTGGCACTTCAGTTTTAAGGTTTCGTATCTGGAGATGGATAGATTGTTTTTGGAATTTGATGAGTCAGGAGATGAAACCTTGAAAAGTCTGCAAGTCTAAGTCTTCTTTATATCTTTGGCGTAGATATTATGGAGATGGATGTTCCTCAAATTTCATTAGAATTGGATTTGGGTTTTTTAGATTTTGAGGTTCTGTTCAAGTTCAAGTTCACATTGGATAGAAAATCTTATAGCAACACAGACTATAAGGCTAGCAGTTCGTTCTCATATATTCTGGGGTTGGATTCATTTTGACAATACTCAACTTAATAAATGAGAATGGAACGCATGGACTCAAAGGGGTAGGTTGTTAATTACAGCTCTGTGGCTAAACCACAGCCACCACAGAGACTTAACTCTTGTATTGATAGGTTTTCCTGGTATATGGATTAAAACATATGATTCCATTTTGCACTGATATAAAGACAGACATTGCTGTTTGAAACCAAAGAATGAAAATTGTCATAGCCTTTCTATCAAGCTTGCCTGACTTCAATAGAAAATTCGCCTCGAAAGCTTTAACCTGAGCGATTCAAAAAATACCACAAGAAAATTCGATTTCCTTAAAGCTATCAATCCTCAACTCCTTTAAAGATCCAATCTCAGAACTCACCATAAGAAAAAATATTGAAATTATATTCAGAATAATAAAATGATGTCCCAAAGGAGTCACCCTTTATTATTGACTATAATAAACCTTTCCATAAATATGCTTTCAATAGTAAAAAGGGAACAAACCTTTCCTTTTTGGTCACTTAAAAACTTTTTTTCTTCATTTATTTTTATATATTTTTTATTTCAACCTGAACATATCAATTTCAGTTCTGATTGATCTCAAATTCAGAATTCATATTTCTGGGATGCTTTGGGAGAAGGGTGTATTGCGATTTGTATTGAAATGAAAGATTCCAGTTAGATTCTTTGTTGCATTATTCAGATCACCCATGAGGATGAGCTCACCTTTACAATCTCCTCGTTTTATATTTGCATGTGAATCACATCGTCTTGCCCAGAATGGATTCATATTTATTGATTCAATGTAAAATTGTGGTGCTCGGTGATGTGAACAGGAATCAGTCCAACAACCTGGCTGATGGGTTCCGCCATTGGCAATAAAATCAGTGTGACCAATCAATTTATCCATTCCAGTCATTCCCATGTTGGTATGAATGACTTCAACATATGAAGCATCAGAATAATCCAATCTTCCTTCAGCATCTTTACTATTAAATAATGGACCTGCTGGATCTAATCCAATGATTGCTCGTACTTTGCCGCGTTGGACATTCTTGCCTGCAAATCCAGCAACATGTGCGCCTAAAGAAAATCCAATAATTGTCACAGTATTCAAATCAACTGCACTATTAGCATTAAGGAAGTCGATAAATTCTCCAAGAACTTTTCCAACACCTGGAACTCGACGAGCAGCTGTCATATAATTAATTGTCTGTGCAGAAGTACTCCAATCAACACGGAAAATGTTGACGTCATCTTTAATCAAAAATTCTGTAGAGACTTTTTCGTTGAAGGTTGTTTCGTAGTCACCGCGCCATCCGTGGATGAGGAACCTGATGAAAATATGTTGGATATATAAGTATGGATTTACTAAGCTTTACAACTTACTTAGTTGGATTTTTTGGATTGAATGTACTTTTAACAACCGAATTCATATCACCCGACAGCACTTCCTGTCCTGCATAAGCATTTCTTCTTGTGTAAAGATAAAACTTGACATCTCTTTCTGGTCGGAAGAACAAGTTCCAAAACAACTTTCCTTCATAATCAACCGACTCAGATAAAAGTGCTGAAATCAACCAATCTGCCTTAAATCCTTAGAAAAAAATAATCTACCCAATTTGCCTACCTTGTGACACGACCAGCAAAAGCAAACCACCCAATTTCATCTTTTACTTCCTTTTGTGGCGATGAAATTGTTTCAACTGCTTGGTGTCCATTCGGAGCATTTTTATTATTTCTGTGTTTTTAATGCATGTATCAATTGACATTAAGATAAGATAATGAAAAACTATTTCTTCTTTTTTTACTACATTGAGCAAAGTCATTGTTCTTGTTTCGTTCATTCATTGAGAAGAAAAAATTCGCAGAAATGACGAAATATTAACTATTTGATCTTTGTGTGTCTTGATTGGAAAATGTTGATGTAAAAGGTGATTCCCATGGTGCCTGACGTAGTTGATATTTTATTTCCTATACAAGCTAAGTATCCACTAGGATGTTATCAAAATCAAGAAAATTTAAAATTATTAGAAAATCTTGACTCGGGTAGCATACACTTCAGGAGTATTTGATACTGTAGGAACAAAATACTATTGTTTAAGTCTTTCTGACCTCCTCCCACCTCTCAAACGTAATTAGTGAGCGACTTAAGACTAACTCTGGAAAATCATGAAGAAAGGAAGATTGAAATAACTTATAAGTAACAATGTCCCGAGATCATGAGCTTAGGAAGTAACATTTTAAGTTAAAACTATAGAATATGTACGTCCCTTTCCAAAAAAAAAGCTTAAATTTCTCTTGAAAATAAATCAATCTTTATTGATATTCTGTACCTTTTTAATTATTACAGTATAAATTTAAAATTAATGACAACGACGACACAACCTATTGTCCTATGTGTTAGTGGAAAAATTAAAATAGGAATTTTATTCAAATACCATCAATGTTAGTGGAGGTTTTATTCAAAAATATCAAGGCTTGGTTGTCAAAAAGTCTGAATTTATTGTGATAAGTTGTGCTGAATAAGTTTCAAATTTATCTTCCAAACCTTGAAAAATGCAATTCATTCATTCATATCAAGATGATATGAGTTGTGAATTAAAAACTTTTTACTTTGGCATTTACATGATTTATCACTAATCAATCTTATTATCATGTCTAAGTATCTTCTTAAAATTTATTAATTTTGTGTACGATATGGCAAGTTTCAGTGCATTTATGGATCAATAAATGAGACCATTATATAACGAGTACCCTTGGTGACACGAAGACCTTCATGGAAATGTGTCAATCGTCCAGGATGCATAAACAGCCATCCCTTTTCAGGATTGAGTATTGAACAGTTGTATCTGTCATGGAGAAATGTGAACAAAAAATGTTAAAATCTGCATGAAAAAAAAAGTTCACATGACCTACCTCAAGAAATTGACTCCACCGCCTTCATAATCGATTCCAGCGCGATTCAATGCAATATTAATTGTATATGTCGACGAGTCATGGTGTGGTCGCAAGAAAGGTTGTTCATCCGGTCGATATCTTACAACGAAGTTCATCAATGATCGTGGTGGATCATGGAAGTATCCAAGGAAAACTTTCTCTTGCAATGGTTTGATGTACAATTGTAAAAATTTAAGCCACAATGCTTCCAAGCCAACTTGATTCATATGAATATCGCGAGTTGGAACTGCCTCGTAGCCACCCTGTAATCTTGTATCCGAATTTGTACCGTCACTCCATTTGCCAAATGCTTCCATAATATCAATCATGCTGTCTGAAAAGATGTCTTTACCAATTGGGAACCAATAGACATCGGTACATGGCTGCTTTGGAACTGTTTCTTCAAGCAATTGAGCCCAATATTCGTCATGGATGAACCGCTTCTCCCAGTCAAATTTATTTGAGAAAAGTTCATAAAACTCTGGTCTTGTCTTTTTAATGTCAAAAGTGTCTGGATTGATTAAATGTCCATAGTCATTTAAATTTGATGCAAACATAAAAATGTCTTGACTTCTTAAATGTTCAGCAAATGCCATGTCAGCATCAACATCAGCCTTTGTATATGAAAGTTGATTCAGAATTTTAGCTTTTATTAAGTAGCATGAAGAGATGAAAGGAACATTCCAGATGCCACGAATCTCATTATTTACTATCGACATGTAATCACTTGATCGTGCATAGAAACCTTTTTCGCTCAATGCTCCCCAGAAATTACTCCAAACGCCTCCGATTCTCGTTATAATTGGTGCCAAAATGGTTCTGTTGAACATGATTAGTTCAATCAATGTGTCGAGATTATCGAGATGAACATCGGAATCGACAACGAAAAGATAATCGCATTTCTTTGTTAAGCATCGATTGACAGCAAGCTCACGTGCTGTTGCCTCACTAATTCCATCTCTAAAGTTCAATCCTTTTACTGATGCGTATTTCTCATTGCCGGCATGTTCGAGGAATTTATTGACCAATTCTGAATGATATTCGACACGGTTATGGACGAAAATGTGGATCTTCTCTTTTGGATAGTTATGTGCAAGGATTTTATCAAGAAATTCTTCCAAAAATGGTGTTGGACTCTCGATAAATAAGGCAATAAGGACATTAAATGACTGCCTTTCATTTTCTGGTATATGATTCTCGAGACATGTTATACATTCACCATCCATGTAGGCACCAGCGATATAATTTCCAAAATTATTTAAAATTAATTTACTCGGTCCATTTCCATGCACAACTGACGGATTAGTTCCATATTTTTTATTAAGCAATTTTGTTTCACCTTCTTTATTGATCGTTACGGAAACATCGCCTGGAAATGGACGAAAAAAGAGGTTGAAACATTCATAAATGGGCATTGAATTTAAATAAATCAGGTTGACTTACCGATATTGCCATTTAAATTTTGGAATAGCAACGACTTGTGATCTAATTTTATTTGATTCTCATCTCTTAATTTCATGTCTAAAAATGCATTTGTGTAGAAAAGTTGATCGTCTTCGGTGTCTTTTATTTTAGCTGATTCGAGGATCTTCCAAATATTAGCAGCATAACCCATAAACATGCCTGAATTGAGATACTTTTGAACATCTCCATCGACTTCTGGGTATTTTGTCTTCAGTTCTGCATCTGGCCAGCAGAAATTTTCAGCTGCAAAGACAACTTTTGCTTTAAAGTTTTGGAACTTTTCAAGGATGTCTGGCCATGTTGCTAGGAAGATGACGTCGTAGCTGTTAATGAGAATAGATGGAATTTTAGATTAATATATGCAAGTTCATGGCTGGGAGATGAACTGTGACATTATTTCCTAAAACAACCGGCTCTAGCTGATCAAAAAATTCAAGTTCAAGAAATGCATTGCATAAAACAATCAACTATCCCCAAAAAATATCACAACTCATTCAAATTAAAATCCAATTTATCCATAAACGAAACCCAGAAATAGCCAAAAAATAATCATCAACATATTTGTTTAATTTTTTATTAGGCACAAAAATTGTCATGCCATGAATTATCTATGAGAAAAAAAGGCCATAAGAAGAATAGACCGCGGAGAGAATAAGAATCAAAAACAATCAACCATCCCAGCAGAGAGTCGAGCCATACAGAAGATGATTTTTTGTTTCAAATATAGACAAAATGCGACAAAGCAAAGCAAAAAATTCACACAAAACAATTTTTATGAGCTGGATTTATAAAAAAAAATATAAAAAGTTATATATTTTTTCTCTGGGGGATAGTTCGTAAATGATGTCTTGCATGAATCTTTTCAATCATTTTTTAAGTCTGTACTTATTTTCAAATAGAGTATGAACCCTTCCTCCCCCATAAATTCCAAAACCATGTCATCACTTACAATCGACCCGCACTTCAATATTTATTTTTCTCCTATATATGAATGAAATGAGACAAAACCAAGCAAAGAGCAAAGAGACTAACTAGCGTAGGACGAAAAACAGCATTTTTCATCGCTTAAACTTTACTTTTTTTTCCCTCATCGCGATTCAATTTCATTTGCTCGCACGGAGACTTATACTTCAATTTATCGCGCGCTTGCATAAATTGATTGTTATTTGGTGCGTTTTCTTGTGATTCTGTGCTGTGGTGCTTCTTTATTATTGTTATAATAATTTTTTAATTTGTCAATTTTCTGTGATATGGATCAGCCTTTAAAAAAATTCTAAACTCGGAATTGTTAAAACTTTTAAATGGTTATGATTATTTTTTTGGTACCAAATAAGTGACTTAAATTATTGGAACTAGAAAAAGGAATATGTTGTTGATATTGTGAAGAACTAATGTGTAAATAAGACTTTAAAGTGTAAAAAAATAAATTAGTGATAACTATAAACTCATACATATCTCAAGAAATGATTGTAAATGTGTCAATCGATACAATCATCTTCAAATCAGATTTCAGCATACAACAATTTTCATTCCAATTCATGTTAAATGGTAAGCGAGTCGTTTAATAAGCCATAAAATAATTTAATATAATTCAATTATTAATCACATAACAAATATCGCACTTTAATTTCACACGGCGAACTTTATTTCGACCTAAAGCGACTTATTAAAGCAGAGAGAGAGTTGTAAAGTCGCATTGAAACTCGAAAAGTTTCTGCACCTACGCTTCGTTGCGAGTTGTTTCGCTCTTTACCGAGAACTGTGAAGCTGTACCGTCGTACTGCAACCCACATTTGACTATAAAATATTTTTTTTTCTTCTTTTTTGATTCATCAAAATGTATAAAAAATATTGTTATTGGGATTATTGATGAATTATAGCACCATATAATGTATTGACTCCTATTATTGCATTTAAGTGTCAATTATAATGAAAAGTTAATTCAATGGGAATAAATAAATAAAAATAAATCTTTCTACATTGCCAATAAAGTCTCAATTGTGCCATCACTTTCAAACAATTCCATTTCATCAAATATTACCTCATTGACTATTAGTGGTTGTCAAATACATTCCATAATAGTTGTCTGAGAAGTTCAATTTTTTGCTATATTTTCTCAATTTTAATATTGTGTTGATTCCTTAGAAAAATGTCAGTCAATTTCAGAGAAATTTATAGAGTCAAATTTATGTGAGGTTGGTCGTTTATTTGCTAATTTTGTGTCTTTAATGATTGGTTGTTTTAAGGCTTGAATGAGTGTAATGAATGAAGTCAGAAGCGTAGTCAGTCAGTGAGGGGGTTCATTAGGGTCCACTCATCAACCTACATATCTCTAGAAGGAGCTTTCCCTGATTTATCAAAATAAATACGCTCCTTGTCAGTTACGATGTATTAAACAAGGTCTACTCTTAATCTACACAACTCAGTGGTTGCATATAATGCACACAATCAAATCTAAACCAGACAGATTTAATTTATTTTGTCAACAACACAATATAAAAACTTCATGCTTCAAAAAATATAGAACTCGCTAATTTGAAAATTGCCACATGATTGACACCTTTTAAATCACTTAATGATGTTGTGTTCACCACATAAACACTAAGTTTCACTTTGTTATCCACAAAAAATTCAAAAATGCTTCAAATTCGCTGCAGACAATTCTGACAAAATCATCCCAAGACCCCAAAAAGCACACACAAACTCAAACTTAATTTTCATATAGAGTTTTTAAATAAACAACTTGCAATTACCTGTCTGTAAACATTATAATACGATTCTCATCGTTCTTATATGGCACGAGTGCTTCCTTCAGCAAATTCACTTTATATCCACCGCCACGAAAATTCATGTCACCGCCTTTCCATGGTTTACCCAATCCTAATGTAACGACCTGTATGAGACTTAATTAGTATGATTATTGTGACACATTAGTTTGTTGAACTCACATCTAGATCATATTGCTCAGCAGATCGCAAAAACCTTTGATATCCATCTTTAGCTCCATCAGATGCGACTGTGAAAATCAGCGGAGCTTCTGCAAAAAGAATTAAAATTGAATGTCTTTCATCAACTTTTTTATGCAACACACAAAAAAACAGAATCATAAACAGAACAAGAAAATGCATTAAAGTGCCAACATGTGCTAGAATGGAGTTTCTAATTATAAAAATTTAACTGCGTGACTATAGCCGCATCAGCATCTCTCAACTTCCTCTCACTCTCATTATTACTCATATATGAATTTTTAAGAACTAAAAGATTAATTTGAGGAAGCAATCGTGCGGCACTTTTTTCGAGATTGATAAGGAATGACTCAAAAAAAAACAACAATTTTTAGTGTCAATGCGTGTAAGGCTTTCAATTGGTGATAATAACATTCGAGAATAATGCTTATCTGACTGGATTTCGCGAAATTTCCATTTGTATAGTTTAAATTAATGTCAACAGCAAATGATGTGATTTAAATTGAATAAGGGAAATGCAGAAATGCTTATGTAGTTGCCCAGATCTTATTTCTTTAATTCCAGACACTTCAAAATGCTTCAAGGCATAAAAATATTGCACAAATATGCATTAATTAACTCACCATTACCACTAATACTCTCACAATGGTTAAAAAGGTACAGAAATGTGTACCACAATGTAAAATTGCCGACAGTAGCTTTCATGACTAAAATTTCACTGTTCAAACTAAAACATTGAGTTCATTTGATAGTAAACTGTCAAATTATCTCACTCAGATTAATTTAAGTCTGTCAAAGATGGCACAAGACTAAAATTTTTTCAAATAAGAATTAAAACCGAGCCGAATCTGAATCAAATATATACGTGACTATGGAACTTAAAAGAATACAAAAAAAATTGATTCAGAATAAACAAAAACTTTAATTGTGGATGTAAATCATGTAGGAACAGAAGATGTCACTAATACACCCACATCCATCCATATGTTGATAACATAAAATGCAGAGATTGGCACCATTTGTGTACAATTTTGAATGAATAAGTTCTATTCATTTTCTGTCCCTGCTTTACATTGCGCATGTCTGTGGATGAGCTACAATTGTATTCGTATAGATTCACATGTGTTTTTCATGTTTCTTATAAGACAAAGCAATTTGATTCCCATAAGCGATGAATTGTGTTTCTTTACAGTCGGATGGACTTTGTTGTGGGACTAGAGGAGATGCAGAATCATTTTTTATGTGCACTTAAATGTAATAAAATGTGTGTAATCATCTCGCAGCGATGAGTGATGTCTAATGAGGAAATGTATGTGGAACTTCCTTATTAAGAAGCTCAGAATTGCACTTTCTCGGATTTTTTCGCACTTTGTGTGGTCTATGGGACTCAAGAGGTCATTATTTATTGTTGGAGATTAAAGTATCTTTTATAGATATTATGGGTCGATTGGAAATGCTGTCAATAATGTGATTCAGGCTCTTAAGCCCTTCTTATAAAAACTTTTAAGTAAAAAAAAAAACATTTTCCTGGAAGCTAGACATCATTATTGCACATCCTTCCCAATAATTCAAAGAAACAGCGTTGATTGGATACAATTTTATTGCACTTCAGGTCTGACTGGTCATAAAACATTTCAATCACACAAATCCAACAGATACAAAACACTACAAAGTAATAAAGCGGCATGTTTGGATTATGAATGATTTCAAAACTCCTCGAAATATCACCAAAACGACAACTTAAGCAGCTGCAATAATTCAAACATGCTTTAAATTTAGAGTGGAACAAGCCACACACACATAATGTCTATAAAAAGAACTTTCAGACCTGTCGATTTGACTGGGAATGAAATTTTGAGCAGCTTTTTACCATTTATGGTGGAAAATTTTCATTTAACGTATTTATAGTTCCGGCGCTCTCGACGTTGAACATATTTGGCAATTTTCCATGAGAAAACAAAGAAAATGAAAAAAATTGTTGAAAAAAAAAAACAAAAAAATTCTCACGAGAGTGAGACACGATCATCATGATTTTTGTGTAGTTAAGGAAATGTGAGGAGATATTTTTCATACTTTTGCTTTTCCTTTCATTCATGTACACACATTTTTCAACTTAGAGTAATTTTCATCATAAACTAAGAGTTTATTTCTTGTTTTTATTATTTTTTTTCTCGTATTTTTAGATGCCACTTTTACTCATCATCTACATAATATGGCATAACGTCGAGCAATTTTATTTTGCTCTATTGAAACACAAATATTTTTTGAGAGAAGAAAATTGGACCACTTGATGTTCATACAAGTACCTCAAAAGGCTTGCTTGCAAATGCATCGGTTGATTCCAGTCTATAGATTGTTTCAAGTTGAATTTTTATCAATTTGATGAGCTTGAGATTTTTTTTGTGCAGTGGGGCAGGAGAGGACTAGCTGATTCCAGTGTTTTTACCAGTTTTTACTAATAACACAGCTAAGAAGTTTCATTTCTAGACATATCAAGACTCTCCAGCATAACACACATAATAATCATTTATTTTAATTTTGTTTTGATTCCAATACGTCTGCTACTTCATTCACCAACCAAAGAAAGTCTTATTATTATTTATTTAACCTCCTTTGCAGTCTTATGCTACTGCCTTACGTCTTTTATTCCATAAAAAATCGAAGAAAATCGAAGTGAATTAAATAATTATTGTAATTTGCACTTTTTAGCGTGGGAAAATGAGCCATAAATGTGTCGATCAATATGGACGGTTTCAGGTTTCATTAGTAGCTACAAAGTTGGTATAATTGCATTGTTTTCGCTGCTATTTCATCAGGCTATAGAAGATGATAAAGATAAATGATGAAAATTATAGCATTTTTGAATCCGATAATTTCATATTCAGCACAAAATTGACAGCTTAAAATGCAATAATTTAGAAGATAATCCAAAAAAGATTGTGATTGAAAAAATAGATAGCCATGTATGGATGTCTATGTCAATAAAGTATGACGAGTAAGTGAATATTAGAGCTAATTTAAGAGTGAAAAATGAGATGCAAATTTAGATTGAATATTTTGATAAAATTAAGACATCTAGAAGCATTAGCTGCACCTGTCTGGAACGTCTTAGAATATCTCGAAAGAAAACTTCCAAAGCGCAATTTTAATTCACTCCAAAAATTCTCTTAATCTCAAAATAATCAACGAAATTTGAACTCACGGACGTCTAGCCGAAAAACCTTTCGAACATTGAGCAACATGATGATGATCAAGGAATTTACTTTTTCTTCATCAAATAAGCATTAGTCGCGCGCATTTCTTACTATTTCACTTTCGATAACTCTCTCGCTCATTATTCATACTTTTTTTTACTCACTTAACCCCCGGCATGCCCACAAAATGCTAAAAAACTCACTACTATGGTCAGAGATCTCAAGCGAAATGTGTGTAAGGCGACGAAGATTTTTTTTTCTTTCCTAGTTATTTTTAGCCAATAAAACATGTATACATGCGAGTGTAAAATCTTATTAAGAAAAATTTTGTTTCTTTCATTCTGTTGACGGATGTTTTTGGGGGTGTTGGGGAGGCATTTTGTCTATGTTTGTGGGGAATTATTATGCAATTTTCAAAAGATTGGGTTATGATGTGGTTATTGAAGCTATTCATTGGAGGTAAAACTTGCTAAGATGTTGACAGCAGCTAGAATATTGATAAATGTAGTGATCGTCTTTTGATTCTAAATGATTCAGTCTTATTAAGAATTCCAATCAAAAAGGTTCCAATTCTGAGTAACTTGCATGTATCTAAGCTTTCAAGCTTCTATTGGATCGTTCTTAAAACACTTCCATTAAGTTTTTGTCTTGATTCAAGAATCGCTGTTCTTTTGTCAAGTTAAAAAATCAATTCTAATATTCTATGGGCTTGGTTAAAAGAAGGTTATTCAGCCTACTGTTGACTTGCATGTCTTCTAATGAAAGAACCTGAATTTAAATGTAATTAAGACGGATTAAGACTTTACTTAAATATCTCATCAATATCGACTCATTATAGTGATGATCAAAAAACATACCAAAAGCGCCTATCCCACAATCGCATGTAAAACTTCCCAAAATTCATTCTGTGTTACTGAAAAATAAAGAAAAATTTCCTCTCACAGACTTTTTTTTTCTTGATGAAAATAAGAAAAAAAAAATGATTTTCACAATTTTTCCTTAGTTTAGTATTTGAAGGGGAACGTGAAAGAGGCATTTAAGCGATCAAGTGTCTTATCAAAAATATTATTATTTTAGCTAGTTTAAATAAGCAGTTAATCAATTAAATGAGAATGTAAATGAGATGAGATCGGAAGTGATCGTGTTATAAAAAATAAAAAAAAAATTAAAATTTGTAAATTCAATAACAATGAAAATTTCCATAAAAGGAATGAAAAAATAGAAAATAAGGAAAATAAGAGAGTAAAGAGAAGAAAAAGTGCGGAAATAAATAAAATTGAAATTCGCAACAAGTGAGAAAGTGTGTCAGCTATAAAAGATTTCCTACACATAGACCTGACTTCGTTGAAAATTCGTCGAGATAAAAAAATCGTTCTTTAAAAGGGAACGGATAATGTTACCAGAACTATTTGCAGGTAAAATGTCAATCTACCTTAATTCTCACGATTCCATCTTCTCATGTCTCACACGAATGAATGACTGTGCAGTGGTTGTGACTTGTTACATCATTGAATATCACGAGAGAAATTTTTTTTTCGCTCTCTTTGCTTGTTTTTTTACACATTTTAGCGGGTTTTTCTATTTTTATAAATAAAAGAAAATTTCTTTAAATCCAAATATTATTTTCCTCAACTTAATGCTTCATGTTTCATCTTCTTTTCTCCTTTTATAGTTGGAAATACGATGCAGGAAGACTTTGGTTTTTTAAATGTTAATAATTGTTATGCAGAAAAGACGGCAGCATCTAACTCACGAGATTCAATTGACCTAGAGTCATCGACATCATCGATTTTCAATAAAAATACGACTAAAATTAAACTAGAAGATTCGCCTGATATCAACAAGTGGTCGTTTAACTATGGAACTAATTTTTTGTAAGGAAAAAATTTTTTGTTATTTTTTATGAATTTTTGTGCATTTAATTTTGGAGTGGAATGTATTTGTATCCCACCCTAATCCAAACTCAAAGTTGCATAGACCCCGATTAATAATAATAAAAAAAAACTCATTCTCTTGTAGAAGAACCTCCGACGATCCCTTGATCTCCAGTGTAAATAACGGATGTGATCAAGTCGATAATGAGCTACTGCGGAGAGACTCTACATGCACCGAGACAACGTCAACATTATTCGATAACATGAATAATACAACGAAAAGTAGAAAAATGGAAAGTACAGAAATCACAACGCACGTGAAAAGAGTAACGACACGAACAAGACGAAAAGGTCCTCTAAAACTTCGATTTCATCATCAAGCACTTCCGCCTGAATATTTAAATCATTATGAATCACAACAGCAGCAGCAACAGCTGAATGAAAATTTACGACAAAAGCAACAGCAGAATCATCCTCAACAACAACAACAACAGCAGCAAAATGTGACGAAGAAGACACACACAAAAACATCGACGCCGCAAATGCCGAAACCACCTGTTGCTGTGCCATTCGAAAAAGCCAAAATTGAGGATGTAAAGAAAAATAATGAAAGCATCATAAGTTGGTTACAAAATGTTTTAGAGATGCAACATACAAAGGAAACAAAGTCAGTGCCAAAGACGCGTACGATTCCAATTGAACTAATACCAACACCAGCACCAGCACCGACATCATCAAGAACCCAATGTCTAAGTGATTTGCCATACATGGGTGAGATGACATTGGAAAATATGAAACCACGACGAGGACGTAAACCAAAGAAAGCTGACATTTGTCATCTGATTTATAAGAATTATGGTACAGTAATTCCTGGAAGTAATCCTACCAACTCATCTGTATCAGCTACGACATCGGTAACTGAGAAGAAATCGAGTGAAACAAAGAAGAAAAGCGCAACAGTTGCAGTGAAAAAATCAACAGTTGTAAAAACTGTTAAGGAGACTAAAACTTCACAGCATGAGCCACTGAACTTGTGCATCAGAGAAAAGAGAGAAGATTCATCAATTTTAATTAGTGATGATAATGAGAGTAATGACTTTCCAATGCCACTATCTAGTGCCTTCAAACCAATCGTAGATCCATGTGAAAATAGCAGCATTGACTTAGAATTTTCATCAACAATTCCATCACTAATATCACCACTAGATCTATCAAATGATTTACCGTCCACAAAATCCCCACGACCACCTTCAGCAAGTTCAACATCAACACCTGTTAGTCCTGGTTATGTCTACTGGCCCAATGCTGGATTATTTATTCATCCGATGGCATTTTATTATCAGAAAATGATGAATAAGAATAAGCTTAATCATGATTCGTCAGCATCATCATCATCATCATCCCTATCATCAATGATGAATCAGGAATCATCAACATTATGGGATCAAAACTTATCGCCAAGTTCAATAGACATGAAAGTTCATGATTTTGAGATAAAAAGTGAGGAAGGTCTGAATAGTCCGCCTGTGTTGTCAGAGATGCTTAAGAATACGACACTAGATTCAAACAAAGAGACTCAGTCATGTAATCCAAGTCAGAAACGCAAACGATCAGCAATTTTCATACCTCCAGTACAAAGTGACAACCCAACAAGTCCCACAAATGAAGTCAGCATTTGTAAATTTAAATTTACTGGCGGTGCCAAACCGAGTCTACAAGAAAAGAAAATCCTCTCAGTCGATTCTGGTGGAAATTTTCGGTACTATTCAGGAACGGGAGATAAAAATATGCGAGGTTATGAATTCTTTCCACGTGAGAGTTTAATGCAGAGTAGCTTACAATCCTCATCACATACAAATGCATTTCTTAATGCTGAAAGTGAGAAGATTCCAATTGAACTTTTGCCTCCAATTTCTAGTGACTTGAATGCTAAGCTCCTAAATTTAAATCCAGAACTTGCAGAATCACCGAATTCAAATTTTTTCCCGCCTCAAGATATTGAAAAGTCTGATAATGATCGACTACACAGGAAGAAGAAGTCATCAAATCGCACGACGCAGCGTGCAAAACTTGAAAAGACATTTAAGGAAAAAGGATTTCTCATTCAGACCCAGCAACTTGAATCTGCTGAAGGTGCAACTTACTGTAAATTTAGACAACTGAAAAAATTCACTCGATATCTATTTAGAAGCTGGAAAGACTATTTACCAGCTGAAGATGGAGTTCCAATACCTGCCGACTGTCAGACATATCCGAATAACTTCAATCATCATGAAAACAATAACAATACTACTAGTAATAATGACAATAATAAAGATTCTTCACCATAACTATGCTCTACATGATTTTGTGCCTTACTTTTGCTAATTCGTGTTACAATTTTTCTATTAACTTTTTTATACTTCCTGGTTTTTCAATGAATAAAAATAAACAATTGTTTTTTGCTATTATTTATTTACAAACATGAATCTACAGCCCTTTTCGTGTTCCTTACTTTCTTATCATGACGAAATTTTCAGTATTTTAAGGGAGAAAGTTTTCTATCAAAGCTCATTTCGTTGACTAGTTTTGAGTTGAATTTTGTGGATAGCTAGTGCTGTGTATGAGAGGTTGGATATTTTTCATATAATCCAGGATGAGATTTTGGTGCTGTGGATTATTAATTCTGTTTATTTGCCACGTTGCAAATGCTGCTGTGTCATACCAGCTGTATACGCGACAGAATAAGATCAATGGACAACCACTGGTTTATAAAAACAAGGCATCAATCAGCAAGAGCAATTTAAATTCTGCTAAGAAAAATAAGTAAGTTTAGGTACTGAATTTTAAGTCACTGGGGCTTTAGCCAGCAAATGTACTCATTACAGAATGATAATCCATGGCTATGGACAAAATGGTCGATCAAATTTCAATCGAGATCTAAAAAATGCTTTACTAGCTCACGACGATTACAATGTTATTGTTGTTGATTGGTCAACAGCCACTGGTTTAAGTTACGATACAGCAGCAAAGAATGCTCCAGAGATTGGAAAATCAATTGCACAATTTATTGATTGGTTGAAGCTTGATGAAGGATATATTCATGTTATTGGATACGACATGGGTGCTCATATTGCAGGTTTGGAAGATTTTCGATCAGTTGAAAGCTTTTCCAAAGTATTATGCAACTTTTACTGAATCATAAATTATCTATTTTCACAAGGACTTGCTGGAAAGAATGTTAAGACAGACAAACTTGACAAAATTACTGGACTTGATCCTACAAAGAGAGGTTTTGATCCTCAAGACCCAAGCACACGCCTTGCTAAAGAAGATGCAAGACATGTTGAAGTAAGATAAATAATTTTGAGAGCCGTTCATCAATGATGTATAAATTCTGGTGGTTCTAAATTCTACTTTTTGCTGACATCTTTTGTGAACAGCTCCATATTTAAAGAAGGCATAAAAACACGTATTTATATTTAGGTTTATCATTCAAATGGTGGAAAGTATGGCATGATGGAGCATCTTGTGGATAACGATAAATATATCAGTAAGTTCTACAATTGAAATTTTGTGGCTTTGTCTCTAGTAAACATCACAAACTTCTTATTCAGATGACGGAAAATCTCAAAACGCTCAATGCTCAACTGACTTATGTTCACATGAAATTGCTTGGAAGCTCTATGTTGATCAAGTTCGTGGAAGAAACTTTTTATCATACAATTGTGAAACTGTTGAAGAATTGGATGGAAAGTAAGAATTTTCAATCTTATAACTTGCAACTATTTTTAATTGAATTATTTCTCAGGGGCTGTGGATGGATTCCTTCAGAATGGTTTAATGAACATACAGGAATTCAGCAAATTAAGACAACCAATATGGTCATCGTTTGAATCTTCGATGTGAATTTTAAATTAAATAAAAAAACAAGTACTTTAAAATCCAAAACAAATTTTATTTATCTCTTCGATCACATGTCATTGAATTATATTCTATTGCTGCTTGTGTCATATGCTGTGACATAGCATCATGAAATTATTTATCACAAGTTTAGCATCGTCCAATGAAGAATATATAGTTCAAGTTTATCATATTATTTTACAGCTTTACATCATGAAACAAAGTGGATAAAATACCAGCGATGCAATGCTTTATGCTTCATATTTTATTTAAAATCCATTTAGTGAACATTGTAGAGTGAAAAATATGAAGATTATTGAATTATTTGTGTTATTTCTTATTTTTAACTCTGTAAACTCATTTTTCTGGGGAGTGTTAAGAGGTGGAATTACTTATACTGTCTATACTCGTCAGAATATGGTTAATGGTCAACAGTTGGTCTATGGAAATTTGTATTCAATTACAAACAGTAACTTTAACAATGCAAAACCTACCAGGTAAGTTCAGTAATTAATCAGCACCAGAGCTCAAAGTCGACTATAGATTTTCATCGGTTTTGTATGGCTGAGTTGACTCCTAGTCAACTAGACTCCATACGAAATTTCATCGACTTCGAGCTCTGATCAGCACTGAATTTTCTCATATTTCTAACACAACATTCAGATTCGTCATCCACGGATCAAACCAAAGCGGTAGATCAGCGTTTGCTCGTGACATAAAGAACGCTTATCTTACACGAGGAGACTTTAACGTCATTGTTGTTGATTGGAGTAACTTTATAGTTCCATACTTCCAATTTGCACGTTATAATGTTGGAGGAGTTGGCATTGCTGTATCCAAATTCATCACATTCCTCAATCCTAATTACACTACTCTACATATTCTTGGATATGATCTTGGTATGACGAATGCGATTATCTTTTCAACATAAATAATAATTATTCTTTAACTCATCAGGAGCTCACATTGCTGGATTTGCAGGCAAAAACTCAATCAGAGGTAGAATCAATCGAATCATTGGCTTAGATCCCTCACGTCCACTATTCAATGTGAATATGTCTGGAGGTCGTATTAGTGCAGGCGATGCACAACTTGTTGAAATATTTCACTCAAATGGAGGTCAATTAGGAATCTTTCCTCGTATTGGTGACATTGACTACTACCTTAATAATGGTAAAACGCAACCTGAATGCAAAGTAATCACTGATGCAAATTGCTCACATTACAGATCAGTGATAACATTCTCACGTTTGCTGTCTGGTCAAAATAATTACGTCGTTATTCCATGCAATAATATTGCTGAAGTTGCCACTGGATGTTCTTCAAATCCAATTGAGATTTTATTGGAAGAAATATCACCGAGTGGAATTTATCAGATAAATACAGTCAATGCTGAGGCTTTGAATCAGGATGTAGAAATTATTGACAATACTGAAGGAAGTACGGATTAGGGTTGGAATTGGTCTTGTTAAAACAATAAGAAGTAAATAAATGTTGGAGATTATAAATTGATTTTCATGTATTTTGATCTTTAATCTATTGTTTGTTTGATTATGAATCTCCTGTTACAGCATTCAATGTTAAAAACGTGAACTAATTGCAATTAGTCTAGCATGACAAAAGTAACTAGATAAAATCAGCAATGATCTAAATAGATCGACGAGCTACAATTTTAGTTCCATTTCATCAGTTTCAGTCATTGAAAAATGATGAAAATAGTTCAGAAAGTTTTGATTTTTATTATATTCACAAAAAGTTGTGTTGGATTTACACCTCCAAAATTTGATCCGGAGACTGATGTCTACTTTTTGTTAAGGATTCAAAACCGTGAATTTAGCAAAGAAGAAGCTGTAAATTTAGCTCAAAAGGAAGGTTTGGAGAAAACTGCATTTGATCCATCCAAACCGATACTTTTCCATGTTCATGGATTTATTGAGGATCGTAAAAAGCCTACACATCTGCTTTTGGACAAGTAAGAGTTTAGAATTTTTAAAGACTCCGTTTTCTACTTTTAAATGACTCAACAGAACAATTTTGGAGAAAGCAGACATGAATCTCTTCTTTGTTGACTGGGGTAAAGGAGCAAAGACAATCGACTACGGCCTTGCACGTTCAAGAGTTGATGGAATTTCCAAAGTCATCGGTGAATTTATTAATTACATCAATGCAAAACATGGATTAAGTCCATCAAATTCCTGCTGTATTGGATTTAGTTTAGGAGCTCATATATGTGGACTAATTCATGTTTATGTAACGGATGGGAAACTGAACAAAGTTTATGGTATGGAACTTTGAATTTCTATATAAATTATTAATTACATCGTTAATCATTTTGAATCTTGATTAATAGGTTTAGATCCAGCCGGTAAGATTTATTTCATCTCAAAAATCCATAATTTCTTCCAACGTCCTGCTTTTAGGTCTACTCTTCGATGTCAATGACCCAAGCACAAGAATCAGCCCCGATTCAGCTTCATATGTCGAATGTATCCACACAGGATTTCCTCTAGGAATTCGATCAGCAATCTGTCAAACAGATTTCTTTGTAAATAAAGGAACTTCTCAACCAGGCTGCTCAAATTTATTAAACAAGGATAATTTTGCATGTTCACACAATCGAGCTATTCAGTTCTTTATGGAAGCAATCAAAACACCAAATTCATTCTATGGAAAGCTGTGTAGTTCTCAAGAGAATGCGATGCTTGGAAATTGTGAAGATGAGCCTGGTGCTTTTATGGTTGGTAAAGAAAATCGAGAAAAGCAATTGACGGGAATTTATCATGTGATCACGAATGAAAAGGTCCCTTTTGGACGTGGGAAGGAATGAGAAATGGTCATCTTTGTGGATGACTAGAATTAAGCATATAGCATAATTTATAGCACTTTAAATAAACTTTGATTTTTTATACCCAACAAAATTAAGTTATTTTTTTTTTCAATTTTTATGTTTATTTTGAGGAACAGTCCTTAGTTCTGGTGAGAACTTGACTCAATCCTAAACTCAACAAACTAGAATTTAATCTTTTGACGTTTGCTACTCCTAGGCAGGGTGCTTGAATTCCTATCAAATTCGCTGATCTCTTTTAATTCCTGATAAGATTATTAAGCTATAAAAACTTGCATGTGAGCAATTTAAAAGCAGAAATCACTGATTGTTGAATACCTTTCACCAATGGTAACCTTCTTGATTAATACATGCGTAAATATGCTCTCAAAGTTCTTGATAACATGATGATAAGAATAAAGTATAAAAGAAGCATTGAAGATGCCAGGAAGTTTAGTTGATTTTGATAAAATGAAGCTGTTCATCATTCTTGCACTTGCTGCTGCTTGCGGTATTAAAAATTTAAAGTTGTGCTAATTTCAAGGATTAATTTTCATTTTATAAACACTTAGTTCTCGCAAAACCAGCCAATGAAGTTTCTGAAATTGAGCCATCATTTGATGCATACCGTGATGTTCGTCTATTGTTGAGCACGAGAAGAAATCGTGGAGCTCCTTACCAAATTTCTTTCCGTAATTTAGACAACATCCGTAACAGTCCATTTGATGCAACAAAGCCAACAAGAGTTTTGGTAAAAAACGACTTAAAATTCCAAATGTTGAAAAAAAAACTAATTGGGGCTAAATTTAGGTTCACGGATGGTGGGAAGATGATACAAGTGACATTTCAGTTGGAACTTCTGAGGAATTGTTGAACTATTATGACTTTAATGTGTAAGTAATTACTGTTGATTTTTAAAAATGATTCAAAAATATGTTAATCATTTCTGTTCAGCATCTTCGTTGACTGGTCCGAAGGTGGTCAGACAATAAACTACGCTGCAGCCGCAGGACGTGTGGAAGCTGTAGGATTCTTTGTTGCATCGCAATTGAACTGGATGAGAGAAAACAATCTTATCAACTTTGATCGCGTACACGTCATTGGATTTTCACTTGGTTAGTATTTTTAGCTTCTTTTTATCTTATCGGAACCAATTGAAAAGAATTTTTTAAATCGATAACTTAATTTAAATTGTTTTATAGGTGCACACATTGCTGGTGAGTTTGCTTATTGATTAATTATGAATTTATTGGAGTTTAGACTTTCCAATCCATCTTGGTTTTTAAGGATTCGTTGGCAAGAACACCCAAGGTCAATTAGACACAATCATGTAAGTATGGACCAGTATGGACATTATTTTTAATGCTAATGATATTTCATATAACTTTTATTTTCAGTGGATTAGATCCAGCAGGTCCTTTGTTCAATGAAAGGTATAAATTAATATTTTTATAGCTTAATAAGTATTTAATTACTCCTCAACTTCTATAGAAATCCAGGTGGAAGAATCGATGCTGCTGATGCAAGATACGTCGAGTGCTTACATACAAATGGTGGACTTATTGGTGCAGGATTTGGCTCAGCAATTTGTCAAGCTGATTTCTTCCCTAATGGTGGTGCATCTCAACCAGGGTGTTTAACCAACACATGCTCACATCTTCGTGCTGTTTCTTACTATATTGAAGCTATCATCGATAATCGCTTCCATTCAATCAGATGTCAAACAGAGTTGCAAGCAACTCGTGAAAACTGTAACTCTGGTGGTGGATTCTGGTTTGCTAATTCAAATAATGCTGCAATCAGACTTAGTGGCTTCTTCCATTTCGCTACCAACAGAAATCCACCATTCGCTCAAGGTCCAACTAGACCATAAATGTGGATTGATTTTGTAAGACATTTTTGATTCAATGCAAATAAATATTGTTTTTAAGCAATTATCTTTGACTTTACTTAAGATTGTTTATTTTTGCTGTATTTAAAATCCATCTCAAAATATCTTTATTCAACGAGAACATTTTTATATCCACAGATACTTACAGCACTTAAACTCAATTAAACTAGATTTTGTATTTGGACTTTTCCTATTGTTAGACTAGAATACTTGACTCCTTATCATACTCGCTGATCTCTTTCAATTCTTGATAAGATTATTTCAGCAATAAAAGCTCCATGTGAGTTATGATATCGAAGAAGAATGTACTGATAGCCAAAATCCTTTCACCAATAGAAATTACCTTCATTAATACATGCTTAAAAAATTGTGTATAAAAAGAAAATTAAAGAGGTTCAGAAAGTTTAGTTGATTTTCAGAAAATGAAGGTTTTCATCATTCTCGCACTTGCTGCTGCTTGCGGTAGTAAACTTTTTAAAGTAGTGGTTATTTTTAGAACTAATTTGATTCATTCTGTAAATATCTAGTTATTGCAAAGCCAGCCAATGAATATGCTGAAATCGAGCCATCGTTTGATGCATACCGTGATGTTCGTCTATTGTTGAGTACAAGAAGAAACCGTGGAGCTCCATACCAAATTGCATTCCGTAATTTAGACAGTATCAGAAACAGTCCATTTGATGCCACAAAGCCAACAAGAGTTTTGGTAATAAAACAACTTAAAATCCCAAGTTTTGAAGAAAAAATTAATTGAGGCTGAATTTAGGTTCATGGATGGTGGGAAGATGACACAAGTGACATTTCAGTTGGAACTTCTGAGGAATTGTTGAACTATTATGATTTCAATGTGTAAGTAATTTCTAGTGATTTAAAAAGAGATTCAGAAATATGCTTAACATTTTTGTTCAGCATTTTTGTTGACTGGTCCGAAGGTGGTCAAACAATCAACTATGTTGCAGCTGCTGGTCGAACTGAGACAGTAGGATTCTTTGTTGGTTCTCAATTGAACTGGATGAGAGAAAATAATCTTATCAATTTCGATCGCATACATGTTATTGGATTTTCACTCGGTATGTATTTAAAGCCTATCTAATCGGAACCAATTTAAAAGTAATTTTTTAATTAATAATTAATTATTTTTTGATAGGTGCACACATTGCTGGTGAGTTTGTTGTTATTTTTTGAAATCTTACGAATTATTCAAACAGTCATTTAATAATTCAGGATTCATTGGAAAGAACACAAACAGTCAATTAGACACAGTCATGTAAGCATGTACACATTATGTTTTGAGGACATACTAATTATAAAATTATTATTACAGTGGATTAGATCCAGCAGGGCCATTGTTCAATGAAAGGTATTTACAAATAAATTTGTAGCTTCAATATCATTAAAACGCCTATTCCCAATAGAAATCCAGGTGGAAGAATTGATGCTGGTGATGCAAGATATGTCGAATGCTTACATACAAATGGTGGACTTCTGGGTCTTGGATTTGGAGCTCACATCTGTCAAGCAGATTTCTTCCCTAACGGAGGCTCATCACAAAGTGGATGTTTGACCAACACATGCTCACATCTTCGTGCTGTTTCTTTCTATATTGAAGCAATCATCGACAACGCATTCCATTCAGTGAGATGTGATTCAGAATTACAAGCTAGTCGTGAAAATTGTAACTCTGGTGGTGGACAATGGTTTGCTGATACAAACAATGCAGCTAGAAGACTTAATGGCATCTTCCATTTCGCTACCAATAGAAATCCACCATTCGCACAAGGTCCTGTCAGGCCATAAAGTTAAAACATCATTTGTAAGACAAATTATTGATTCTAATGAATAAATTTTGTTTTATAAGAACATAAAGACACTGTGAGTTTGTTTGTTCGTAAAATCCAATTATAAGTTCAGCCTACACTATGGGGCAAAATGAAAAAAAAAGGGACTTTCACTTTGAAAAATGGACTTTTCCGATTTACACTTTTTGGGTGATTTTTTCTTGTAGAGGACATAAAAGTAGATAGAAATGCCAAATTTCAGGTCATTTGGTGCTGATTTCGCGATTCTAGAGCTGTTTGAAGTTGAAAACTAGTGAAAATTCTGGTTTTTTCATACCATGTTTGAACCGGGAAATATCTTAACTGGTTTAAGATATTGCAAAACGGTTTTCAGTTCCTATTAGTAGTATATAAGAGCTTTATTTTGACATATAACAAAGTTTAGGTTCTGAATGTTTTCGTGCCATTATGGTAGAACATATGTGAAAATTTCAGGAAAATTATCTTCAAACAAGCCGCAACTATCATAAATGAAGAGTTTCCAGGCAAGTAAAAACGCAGTTTTGTAGCCCCATATATCTAGTTTTCAAAACTGTATAAACTTTGAAAAAGTAAGCTAACGTAATTGAGTTATGTTGATTTTAGTAGGTCGTTGAGTATTTGGCCAAAAACTAATAATTCTTTTAAAAATACGAAAACATAGTTTTAAAAATAGTTTTTTGGTGTTTTCTTATGAAAAATAACAATTTAAATGATTTTGTGAAGAAAATTTTTCAAAAACTTCAAAATCTTTCGAGATATAGGGGGTATGTGCTCTCCATCGATTTGGCCATTTGTCACCCTACTTAAACCACTATAACTTTTTTTTGAAAAAATATTTTTTAATTCTGTTTTCGGATTATTGTAGCCTAATGTAATACCTATCCAACGATATATAATACTTGCTAGTTAACTTAGTCCTGGTTATTTATAGGGCTGTTGATTGTGACATACGCAGTTTTTGAAAAATTCCCAAAAATTGCATTTTCAAAAATACCACTTTTAAGCAATCTCGAGTATTTTTTGGACTTTTTTAAGAAATGTTAAGTCTGAAAAAAGCTATTATCATTAGAGTAATAAAAAAAATACTCTGATACGCAACTATAATAGGTAAAATTAATAAAGTTTAATTTTTAGTTTAATGAAATTTTGTTTATTTGTCAAGAAATTTAATTTACATTTTTTTATCATATTTAATGAAATTTATTTATTCATTCGTTGTTTGCTTCTTCAGAATATTCATGGTCTTGTCCTTCGGAATAATCATAGTTTTCTGCTTGGGAAAAGTCATAACCTTCTCCTTCTGGCTCAATCAATTCAATTTCTTCCTCATTTTCTGTTTGTTGCTCAGGTGTTTCACCTTCTTCTTGGACATTTTTTCTCATTAACCTTTTATTTATTACATCCATATATTTTTTTATTATTACTGGATCAGAACTGTAGAGTCTTCTATGTATAACATCCGTAAAACTGTGTATTCTTGAAGTTTTTCTGGCACGTAGTTCTCTATCTTGTCTGAGATATTTGTTTTGTGACTCCCCGGCTTCTTCACTCATTCTTCCTAGAGGTAATGGTAAGGCTTCCATGTAGTGTTTTGCATGAGCAAGTGCTCTGTGAAGTGTTACTGGTATTTTGAACCAACTATATGTTGTCAAAAACATTCTGTATGTTTCTTTACAGTACCTATCAAATTCATCTAGATCATCAACTGGTTCTAAACTTCGAATTTGGTTTAGCACATAGCATATACGTTTAATTATTTCTTCATTAAGATATAGAGTTTTAGCTAGAAGCTCTGGATTTTCAAGAACTTTTCTTGCAACGTTTCCTGTATCTGATGATCCAGCTCCCCCTTGTCTTGGTTCGAGTACACGAACATTAAATGCATCCCACATTGCTTGCTTTATTCTAGCCTTTTCAACATCTAAAACAATCTGTTCCTCTTCAGTTATCTCCAGCCAGCTACATGTATATCTAGTTGTTTAGGTTTTGATGTAGTTTTTTCTGGAAGATCCTCTCCTTTTTGGCACGCCTTAATAAATTCTTTTAACATTTTAGCTCCTTCTACTTTTCCTTCTTCTTTAGAAAGGCGAAGTGCCAAGTGAAGAACTGATAACAATGATCCTTTTGCTTCTTTTAAACTGATATCTAATTCGTCCACTCTTCTACGTCGATGCTTATCGCTTGTTAGTTGTTCAAATGATTTCCTCTTGATGCCCTTGCTGGATGAAGGCTCTATGTCATGGACGATGTATTCAATCTCATCCATATCTTCATCTGTGTCAGTAACATTTTCTGCTTCATATATAGATTCTTCCTCAAAAAGAATCCCTCCACTAGATTCGCTGAAGTATCGTGAGTCAACTTCAAATTCCTCTTCATAGAAATCTGCATGATCTCTTAATGCATTATTCCAATTTGACTGATTACAAAACATTTTTGACTTTGACTTCAGCTTGTTTAATTTATTAATTAAACTTGGTTTCTGTGATTCCGCTAATTCTCTCCCATGAATTTCTTCTATTACTGCCAAACAGTACGTGTGCTGTGTTGCAAGATTTAACGTTTTGTCGCGAAGAATTTCACAGAGTGTTTTCTTCGTAAGTGTTGAATTTTGGTTCATTTTTGAAAGTGACTTGTTCAATGAAGTTCAAAACTGATATGATGTGTAGAGAGAATTTCACGAGTATATATATAAAATAGTTTCAAAACTGAGATTTTCACACCTGATAGTGACTACCAAGGGTACTTTACAAAGTTGTTAACTAGGGAAGTAAAAAGTTTCTAAATTTAATTTTTTGGCTTTATAATCTCATAAATGTCATAAATAAACATAAAAAAGGTTCTAAAAAAATACTCGAGATTGCTTAAAAGTGGTATTTTTGAAAATGCAATTTTTGGGAATTTTTCAAAAACTGCGTATGTCACAATCAACAGCCCTATAAATAACCAGGACTAAGTTAACTAGCAAGTATTATATATCGTTGGATAGGTATTACATTAGGCTACAATAATCCGAAAACAGAATTAAAAAATATTTTTTCAAAAAAAAGTTATAGTGGTTTAAGTAGGGTGACAAATGGCCAAATCGATGGAGAGCACATACCCCCTATATCTCGAAAGATTTTGAAGTTTTTGAAAAATTTTCTTCACAAAATCATTTAAATTGTTATTTTTCATAAGAAAACACCAAAAAACTATTTTTAAAACTATGTTTTCGTATTTTTAAAAGAATTATTAGTTTTTGGCCAAATACTCAACGACCTACTAAAATCAACATAACTCAATTACGTTAGCTTACTTTTTCAAAGTTTATACAGTTTTGAAAACTAGATATATGGGGCTACAAAACTGCGTTTTTACTTGCCTGGAAACTCTTCATTTATGATAGTTGCGGCTTGTTTGAAGATAATTTTCCTGAAATTTTCACATATGTTCTACCATAATGGCACGAAAACATTCAGAACCTAAACTTTGTTATATGTCAAAATAAAGCTCTTATATACTACTAATAGGAACTGAAAACCGTTTTGCAATATCTTAAACCAGTTAAGATATTTCCCGGTTCAAACATGGTATGAAAAAACCAGAATTTTCACTAGTTTTCAACTTCAAACAGCTCTAGAATCGCGAAATCAGCACCAAATGACCTGAAATTTGGCATTTCTATCTACTTTTATGTCCTCTACAAGAAAAAATCACCCAAAAAGTGTAAATCGGAAAAGTCCATTTTTCAAAGTGAAAGTCCCTTTTTTTTTCATTTTGCCCCATAGTGGCCTAATCACGTTTTAAACATTATTAATTTCATTGTGTTTGTAAACTATTACAACAAACTGCTTTTATCATTAATTGCTTCGTAGTACAAGCTGATAAAATAAAGGTATAAAAGAGGAACTGCTGATTCCCGAAAACTTAGTCGATTTTCGTTAATTCCTTAAAAAATGAAAACTTTGATCATTCTCGCACTTGCTGTAACTTACGGTACTTAAAAGTCAAATTTTTATCATTTAAAGGATTAATCTTCATTTTTTAAAATACTTAGTTCTCGCAAAACCAGCCAATGAAGTTTCTGAAATTGAGCCATCATTTGATGCATACCGTGATGTTCGTCTATTGTTGAGCACGAGAAGAAATCGTGGAGCTCCATATCAGATTGCATTCCGTAACATAGACAGTATTAGAAATAGCAACTTTGATGCAGCTAAACCTACAAGAGTTTTGGTAAATTCAAGACTAAATTGAATTTTGGTAAAATATAATTGAGTACTAATTTAGGTTCATGGATGGTGGGAAGATGACACAAGTGACATCTCCGTTGGAACTTCTGAGGAATTGTTGAACTATTATGATTTTAATGTGTGAGTAAGCTAAAGTTGAAGTTTGAAGGAAAAATTGTCAATTAACAAAAAAGCTTCAAGAGCATTCTCTAGAATCCCATTTTATAATGCAAAATCTTCTCAAATTATTCCAGCATCTTTGTGGACTGGAGTGCAGGGGGCCAAACAATCAACTACCCAGGAGCTGCAGGACGAGTTGAGACAGTTGGCTTCTTTGTCGCCTCACAATTGAACTGGATGAGAGAAAACAATCTTATCAACTTTGATCGCATACACGTCATTGGATTTTCTCTTGGTTAGTGCTTTTTATCTAATCTTATCGGACTTTATTAATTAATTGATTGAAATTTTTTAATTGGCAAAATAAACATTGTATTTTAACAGGTGCACACATTGCTGGTGAGTTAATCATTAAAAAAGCTGTGATTTATTAGTTGTGGATATAATGTTTTCAATTGTAATTTATTTTGATTTTTGCAGGTTTTATCGGCAAAAATACTTTCGGTGAATTAGATACAGTCATGTAAGATTAATAAAGTTGACTTTTATTATTTTTAATTCAATTTTTAAACTTCCAGTGGATTAGACCCAGCAGGTCCTTTGTTCAGTGAACGGTAAGTTATTTCATCTTACCTTAAACAATAAGCTATAACTTTACCCCTCAATTATAGAAATCCAGGTGGAAGAATCAATGCAACTGATGCAAGATATGTCGAGTGCTTACATACAAATGGTGGACTTATTGGAGCCGGTATCGGAATTCCTATTTGCGATGCTGATTTCTTCCCTAATGGTGGCACATCACAGAGAGGATGTTTGACAAACACATGCTCACATCTTCGTGCTGTAACTTACTATATTGAGTCAATCATCAACAATGGATTCCACTCAGTCAGATGTGATACAGCAACCCAAGCTGGTCGTGAAAATTGCAATTCTGGAGGTGGATTCTGGTAAGATTAAAAATTTGATGAGGATTTTTAAAATATTTTCTGACTTTTTATATTTTTTGAAATAGGTTTGCTGCAACTTCAAATGCTGCAAATAATCTTCGTGGCATTTTCCACTTTGCTACCAACAGAAATGAACCATTTGCACAAGGTCCTTTCCAATAAGGATATTGAAATTTTGGCATGCTGTTAAAAGAGTTTGAATAAAGTTGTTGACTTTTGAATAGATTTTTGTTTTTTTTTGAGTTTCGCATGTGAAGCTGTTGTGTGGATCTTATAGTTGTAATTAAGCAATAAAGCTTAAAGTTTTGTGTTAACCGTTCACAATCTTATCTAAATGTTCAACTTTTCTTATCTTTCTTTTTACAACTTTGGCCTGTGTGACCTTAGATACCCTTTAATCCTCTTAAGCACATTGTTTTCGCTCAGTTACGATAAGATTTTCAAAATGGTATAAAAGCTACAGGTGTAGCTTGATCATTTTCTTATCTTTCTAAAACGTCTAGGTCAAAAGTTGATAAGAACAAAATAATATAAAAAGAGATACGCAGAAATAACATACTATTTAGTTTTTGAAAAATGAAGCTTTTGGTTGTTTTCGTCTTTGCTCTTTCATGCGGTAAATAAAGTTATTCCAACTATTAGCCAAAAATTTCATCATAATCTATTTTTCTAGTGATCGCAAAGCCTGCAGATGAAGTTATTGAGCCATCATTTGATGCCTATCGTGATGTAAAGTTGCTGTTGAGTACTAGAAGAAATCTTGGTAGTCCATATCAAATTGCATTCCGTAATATGGATAGTATCCGAAACAGTCCAATTAATGCTTTTAGACCAACGAGAGTTTTGGTAAGTTTAATTAAAAATTGAAATCTTAGTTTAATGAAATTCAATGTTTTGTGAAATCTAGGTTCATGGATGGTGGGAGGATGACACCAGTGACATTTCAGTTGTAACATCTGAAGAGCTTTTGAAATATTATGACTTTAATGTGTAAGATAATTTTTACATTATTTTATCAAATTTATATTCAAATATTTTTCACTACCAACAGAATCTTCGTAGACTGGAGCGAAGGTTCTAGAACAATTAATTATGCTGGTGCTTCCAACCGTGTTGAAGCCGTTGGTGTCTTTGTTGCTTCACAATTGAACTGGATGAGAGACAATAGATTTGTAGATTTTAATGAACTTCATGTTATTGGATTTTCACTTGGTGCACATATTGCTGGTGAGAATATTGTTAAGGCTTAGTTGATTCGGTTTATAAAAAAAATCAATCTTTGCATAGGTTTTGTCGGTAAAAATACTTTTGGTGAAATCAATACGTTAATATAAGTTTCCAACATTTAAATCTTTAATAAAATGACAATTCGAAAGATTGGTTCCTCCATTTCAGTGGGCTAGACCCAGCAGGACCTTTGTTCAGTGAGAGGTAAGCTTTTATGCAATAATTGACCTGAATCCAATTTTAATTTTCATCATTTTTCCTTCCTGTAGACGACCTGAAGGAAGAATTGACTCTAATGATGCAAAGTTTGTGATTTTTATGAAATATTTTAACTTACAACAACTAATCTCATCCATAATTCCGCAGATACGTCGAATGCCTTCACACAAACGGTGGAATGATGGGATTCGGAATCGGTACAGCACTTTGTCAAGCTGATTTCTTCCCCAATGGAGGTTCATCACAAAGAGGATGCCTAACAAACACATGCTCGCATCTTCGAGCTGTCAGCTACTATATTGAGTCAATCATAAACAATGGATTCCATTCAATTAGATGCTCGACTGAATTGCAAGCTAGTCGTGAAAATTGTGATTCTAGTCAAGGTGGACAATGGTTTGCTGATTCAAGCAATTCGGTTAATAGACTTAATGGCATCTTTCATTTTGCAACTAATAGAAATGAACCGTTTGCACAAGGTCCATTCAGAACTTAGTAGATTTAAATTTGTAGTAATTATGAAGGTTTACTTATTATAATAAAGGTCAATTTTATAGTTCATCCTTAATTCCTTTCTCATTTTATTGATTCATGAACAACATTTATATCTACAAAGGTTATCTTTCAAAATAACTGACTTTAGAAGATCATCAAGTAAACCACTTGAAAGATATGACAATCCTCAAGATAACAGCAAAAGAAGCTTCTTTATTTAATTTTCATTCACAAACAATAAGAATTTGTTATCAAATCTTATCAAGAATATTAATTTGATACATTATCATAGAGTGGTTGGGTCTATAAAAATCGATGTTCAGCTTTTAAACCCTTTCAGTATTTGTTCAACATTTACAGAATGAAGACATTTATCTTGGTATTGATTGCCTTTTGTGGGGCAGGTAATTATTTATTTTTCATCCTTTATTGCTTGAAATCAATATTCATCTAAATAAACATTCAGCTACTGCATTTGATGCCTACCGCGATACTCATTTGATGCTTCAAACAAGAAGAAACATTAATAATCCAACAAGGATTTTGTTCCGCAGTGAAAGTAGTCTTTTGGCTAGTGAATATGACCGAACTAAGCCAACACGCATTCTGGTAAGTTTGATTTTTAATTGTAACAGTTTTTCTAGCTTTTCCCAAATCTATGAAGCAATTCCAATGAAAAATTTGAATTTCTCAAATTAAGATTCACGGATGGAGAGATTATGAAGGTTCCGATATTTCAACAGCAACTGCAGCTGAGCTTTTAAGATATTATGACTTCAATGTGTATGTTTCATTTGATTTAATATTAAGCAAAATATTGAGACTATATCTTAATCTTAATTCTATTAAACAGCATCTTTGTCGACTGGTCTGAAGGCTCAAGCTCTTTGACTCACGGAACTGCAGCTGCTCGTGCTGAACCAGTGTCAATTATTGTATCATCACAGTTGAATTGGATGAGATCGATGAATTTCATTGATTTTGCTCGAGTTCAAATGATTGGATTCTCGATGGGAGGTTTGTGATAGCTACTTTTGAAAAATTCCAGTATTTTTACTTATCATTTGTGTTTTTACAGCTCACATTGCGGGTAAGTCATTATTTGGAACTTTCCCCAGTTAAAGTCTATGTCTTATCATTTAATTGAATTTCTGATACTATGCTGATTGAAAAATCCATGGGATATTTCCTACTTATCAAGACCACAAACAAATACTCATTAATTAAATTAGCTTAAGACGTAGACTGGATTAATTGGAATTTTGTTGAACATTTTTTCTGTCACGCAGGTCTGGCTGGTAAAAGAACTGATGCTTTAGTTGATTCTATCATTGGACTTGATCCATCGGGACGTTCTTTCAGTGTTAAGTATGGAATGTTGAGTATTTAATGGCTAAAATGATTTTTTAATAATTTTGATTCATTTCAGTCGACCTGATGAGAGATTAAATGCTGGCGATGCTAGGTAAGATTGACAAGAGGAACCTACATTTGGCTCTAATAAGAACTTTCTAAGAATGTCAATCAATAACATAACCTTATCCTTTTAGACACGTTGAGTGCCTTCATACAGGTGGTGGTCTTCTCGGAGATGGAATTGGAGCTGCAATTTGTGATGCCGATTTCTTCCCAAACGGTGGTTCAGGTCAGCCTGGTTGTTTATTCTCTGGATGTGATCACAGTCGATCTGTTGAAATTTATGTTGAATCTATCGATGTTAATGGATTCCACTCAATTCGTTGTCAAACTGAACAACAAGCTACTCGTGAGAACTGCGCAAGCGGTGGTGGATTCTGGTACGATGGATATACTTAGCTATAATGACAAGCTTTACTGATGACTTGATAATTTTCAGGTTCAACTCACCAACAAACTCTGCAAATCAATTGAGAGGATTCTTCCACTTCTCAACCAACAGAAATACACCTTTTGCTCAAGGACCATTCAGACCACAATCTGAGTTCCTTAAAAGAATTGGATTTTACAACAGGAAAACACTTAGAGTTTAAAACATTTTATTTTATAACAAATCATGCTGCTTTCAAACAATAAATTATGAAGACATTGCTCTGGTGAATGACTTTACAAAATTCGTGAAGCATCAACGGTGAGCAATGAGCACAACTCAATTCTAAGAGTCATTCCCTTCTGAATAGTTATTTATATTTTTCCTACCCACCCTCCTCAATATCAATTCTTTTTTTGTTATCAAAACACTTAAGTGACGCCAGAGATATTTCTCTGCTGGCTTAATTGAATAGCAAGGTAGCAAGTCAGATTCTGTCTCTTTTTCCCTTCGTTCCATGGCGTCATTACTTTTTATGGCTTTATTTATCGCTGACACTTTTTTTTGTTGCTGTTTAATGAATAGAAGGAAAATGAGTCAGTCGTTTTTATTGTAAATGATTCTCTCCCTGTACCTTAACATTCTTATACTTTTTATTTTAATATTGGGGAGAGCAAATTTGAAGTAATTTTCATAAAAACAGACGGTCATCAGCTCCTTTTTGTATGAATAGAAGATTGTATGCGAACTTTATTCAATTAAGGTAAATTGAAAAGTACTTCACATAATTATCATGAAGCGGTGTGGATATTAGCAGCCTCCAATGGAAATTTATTACTTAATTTGTTTAATGAATTTTTAATGATTTTTTTCATGGTTGGCAAGTGTTTTAAGGTTTTTTGAGGATGTTTATTTGGGTCATTGTTTTAAGGGGTTTTAGGAAGTTGTGCATCTTTCCTGGTTGAAATGTCAAAGTTTTTGGAGATTTTGTGATTCTTGACATTATTCAACTTTAATATTATAAATCTTAAATTTCGTTTTGAATTCTTTTTGGGATTGATTTCTCACTTTAATTTCATATTTTGAACAAGTTTTGAATGGTTTTTAGTTTTCAAATTGTGTTATAAGGTCGATTTTATAACTTTAAAAATTCCTTAATTCAAGAAAATTCTCAAATTTGAACTAAACTCTGATTTTTGCGCCAAAAAACTAATTGTCGCGTCAATATTCAATCATGAATAGCCAATCTATTATATTTATACAATATCTTCTTTAAACTTCAATTCAAATCAGTATCAAAGACTTTACATTTTAAGCAAGATCCAAAACATAAGAAAAAGTTATTCAAAAAATAAATACTAAAGTAAATAAAGCATAACTTTCCATTTTTTATTCACAACTTATGTTTATGACGTTGTTAAAAAAAAGTAAAAATGAGAATCGAAACAAAGTTTAACGAGGGCGAAAATAATTTCAAATTTATTATCAAATACACAGCATAAATGCATGAAATAAAATAAAAATATGCGAGTAAAAAAGGTAGGTGGATCAGGTGTTTCTTAAACATTTGCCACAGTGGTAGCTCTCCTTCCCAAGCATAAAAAACTTTACACGCGAAGCATAAAGTCAGGAGAAACAAGGAATGCTAAGGCCAAAAAGAAACAATTGTAATTTATGCTGAAAGCAGATATTTACATTCGCATTTATTTTCTTCTCATGACGCTAGCAGCCATGCATAATAAACTTTCACTGCTCCGTGATTATTTATGAAGTCAATATTGCAGTGATTTTATTTCCATTTTTTATTCAACTTCGTAAATTGCAAACATTTTTCATTTTGTGTTACGTGAAATATTTTTTTACGGGTGTGCATCTTTCAGGCAGGCTTTGATGGTCAGTTGCAATTACATATTCAGATCAGAATCGCATCATCGCACCCCTTCTGGATATGAAAATAAAATAAAACCTGAAATAGTATCAGGAATTGCACGTGAGATAAGAGGATGGAAGTTTGGGTGATTTAGAGAGAATTTTAGAAGTTTGTGGTGCTTTTTTGGTTTAGGTACCTGTCACCTAGCCTTCGTAAGTGGTTTTATTTATGACAATTCTTTATAGTACACTAGAGTGCCTCGGTATAAAGGTTGGTCAGCACTGCATCATATTAAGTCTAGCTTAAAATCAATATATTCATGCAAATACAGCTTCAATTACAAATGTAACAAAACGCCACTTCTAATCTGATCCATAAACTCCAATCCCAAACCTTCCCAGTTCCTCTAAACGATACACGAAACCAACAGCTCCCTTGCATTCCCTTTTTAATAAATCTTTTCCTGCAAAAAAACAGAAAAAGAAGAAAAATTGTTTGCAATCAAATTACATTTTGAATAGAAATTGGAAATTTATGAGCTACGAAAAAAAAATCCCTTCCAACTTTTTTTTTTCACATCACGTACAATTCATTTGACTTTATGATGAAATTTGTGTGCCTTTCTTTTATCCTAAAACTGTGAAAAAGGTGAGAAAATTTAGAAATAAAATTTATTTCATCATCTTTGTCACGTAGATGATTATAGCTTCAAATTTAAGTGATCACGTTGACTTAAATAAATTGACTCACTTACAACCTTAATTAATGGCTCATTTAAAAGCCACAATTTGACTCTTCCTTCCTGTTTCAAGCATGTGAGAACTAATTAAAATTTAATTTTCACACAAATTACTTCCACATCCCTTTCCAAGTCGTTCCTATACATCCTTATAAGAATTTTCATTGCCATCGCGTATTCGTAAGGAATTAAATTTTCCTTCCACACATGTTTTTCATCGCTAATATTCACTTCACGTTCTGTGCTATTTACAGTATGGAGGTGAACATGACAACAATTTATTTACATTTTATTTTCTTAATTTTTCGTGCCGTTAACACATTGTGTAATTTAATTTAATTACATCATCATCATCATCGTCGTCTTCATCTTACTTACAATGTGTGGAAGGAAGTAAATAGGAAAATTGGCTGCGAGGGTGTAGGGATAATAAGAAAATAGCGAAGAGGAAATGAGAGGTGAACAATAATGTTTGCTGTGCATGGCAGGTTCTCTAAAGTTAAATTAAATTAAATGAGCGAATATTTTTGAGGATTGAAGTAGTGGGAATTGGAACTGCATGAACTGAAAGCATGGTCTGTGAGGCTAACATCCAGATTCTGCTAATTTTGTCAAATTTTTAAGATTTATTTCCACTGTTTCATAATTTTTATGATTTGGAGCCAAACTAGAGTCTTGCTTAATTCAAAAAAGGTTATTTTCATCCCAAATATAATAAGTTAAGGAACTTTGGTATGGCTAGCAGTTTAACTATGTTTTGGATCTTTATACTAGCTCAGATGAGATTTTTTGATTAAGATTTCACTGAAATTCTTGATTCTAACCTTGATTGAGTATTAATTGGTATTCAATTCTTATTTTAAGCTTCCCTAAGGGGCCGTTCACTTATGACGTCCGAAATTAACGGTCAGTTTTAAAAAAGAACAATAGATTTCCAGGAATTTCTATTGTTCTTTTCTTGCTGACCCCCCCCCCCCCCCCCCCCCCCCCCCCCCCAACCCTGGACGTCATAAGTGAACGGCCCCTAATGAATCTTGCTCAATCGTCAAACCTTTAGGTCGGTTATAGCTAATTCCTATTTCAATACTCCCCAACATGTCCACAAAATCATCTGTTAATTTAATCAAAAATCAATCGAAAAGTCCATCTTTAAAAGCATTTAAATTCATGTCTTAAAATATTCAATTGAATAAAAATCACTCAGATTGAATTAAAGAGAGACAATAGGGAACTTATCAGCATAATCTCTGAGCATCTTTAATTTCTTCTGTCGAAAAAAAAAAGCAGACACGAAAATAAAAACAAAGGCGAGAAAAATAATTTAAAGAAACCCGTATTATTAGCCACCCTGGCTTTTTTTTCACCTACTTAATATCACGAAGGGGCGTCACTAATTGAATTTTTTTCAGGTCTTCTCATCCGTTTTGCGTGCATATTCTCATTTTATTTATCATTATCTTAATTAGATAAAAAATTTGTTTAATTAGAAATGAATCCTTAGAAGAGAGATAAAGAAAAACAAATGGCACTTTAGTCCTCCTTTCTGGTTCTTTTCTTTGCTGCATTTAATTTTTTTTTTTTTTTGAGTGCTTCAAAGCTTGGGTTGAGTTGATTGCATTTTGTCTATTTTATATTTTGAAAATTCTGGCACTTATAATTTTCAACCGTTCTTTCTATTTTTGAATTTTTGATCCTTTTTGTCTGTCATTAAAGTTCAAAATTCAAATTTGGGCCGTTATTTAGGTTAAAAATTCAAATTTTAGTCGTTATTTTGGTTTGAATTTCTTTTGACTGTTGAAAATGTTCAGAAAAATGCGCTTAAATTCTCTCAAAGTCTCATTTAATCTTTTGTCATCTCCTTTCGTCCTGTGAAGTGTGAAAATTCTCGCCATCAACCCTCACAACAATACAATCTCCCTTCAATCACACAACAAAAAAAAATTCTTCCTGCAAATGAAAAATATGTACACACCGGTACATTCAATGTCTATCGCAAGTGGCGAGGATGATTCATAATGAAATGGGTAATAATGAGATAAAAAGTTTTAAATTTTTCATCAAAAGGAATGTTGATGGCAATAATTTAAGAAATAAAAAAAAATATGAGGGACATCGCGAATGTAAAGATTGGAATGTCAAAAACAGAGCAATAAAGGAAGAAGCGTGAAATAAAAAATGACATTTAATTTCCACACCTCAATCATGGCTTTCTTCTGTCCCTGTATTTTTCTTATTGTGTTCTGCTGCCAGCAGCTATTTACTTTCATGTTTTTAAAAATTAATTCTTTGCATAAAAAATTAAGGATGAATGATAAAAATTCTAATTGTCCTCGAGGTATGTTTAATGTCTTATTTATGATTTTTTTTACTGGATATAATCTGGGGAGCGGAAGGGGGGGGGGGTGCATGTTGAATTTTGAACTAGATTCTTAGAATACGACTTTTTATACAAGCTGACCTAAGAGACCTACTTCATCCATCTAATTTGAAGAATCAGCTGATGTGCATCACTCGAATGTAGACACTTAATTTGGACTATTGACATTACTGTTCTCACACTTTCTAGCTTTAACAGCTGTAACTCGATATCGGAGTCAAAATATGCATGAACATGTAAATTATCTTAACGTTCTCATTATAAAGTTTTATTTTTAAATCATTTACGCATTTATTAAGTATCAAATCATTGTTTTTGAGAGTTATGATCAGCTCAAGGAAAAATTTGTTTATAACTGTCATAAATTATTTAAATCTGTTTTCAAATTTTTCTTTACCGTTACACACACAAACACAGACGCAAAAAGTGTCTTTACACAATTTACGAAGTACACAAAAAGAAACTTCTTATTTTAATTAAGTTTTAAAGCATTTACAGCATCAAATAAGAAGAAAATAAGGAATAATCTAGAAACACATCCCATAATAAGTCCATTAGTCCTAAAATCGTCACTATCGATAAAGCAGAAATGATAAATAGAAACAAGTAAGTCATAATTTAATTAAATTACATTACTTTTGCATTATTTGCCAGTTTATAAGTTACATTAAACCATCAAAGACATAATCATCCATCACAGAATGTTAAAGTAATACGCAAAAAATGTGACAATTGGCAAAAAAAGTTTAAATTTCATTATTTTTGAATGTTTTGCATTAATTTTGTTTTGTTTATATCTGCTTTATAAACTTATTTCTTCCATTTCTAGACACTAAATGCACTAACTGTTTGCTTGATCACTAGATACCCCACATAAAAAATATTGCTATTGTGAATTCGTCAGATTTTATTTAATTTGTAGCATAACAAAAAAGTTTGATCGATAAAAATAATATTGGACTTTTTAGATTTCATCCAGTCAAGTCGCTATCAAATCACTACATGGATTGTGTATCGACATCGGATATGGTTCTCCTTCATGGGAACTCACATCCAGAATTGGCTAATTTAATTGCCAGGTAAGTAGCATAAATAACATATTGGAACCAACATTATCAGTAGGTAACCTGAAATTTACTCACCCATGTCTGTGTCTGTGCCTGTTATAGCCGATTGAACATCAAAAGTGGTGGATGTTCAGTATTCCATAAGTCAAATCGAGAGACAATGGTCGATATTGGTGATTCAGTAAGAGGAAAGGATTGCTACATCATTCAGACAGGAACAAAGTAAGTTACAGCATAAAATCTGTTGATTTTGACTAACTTACATCACATGTCATACTTAGGGACTGCAACAACAATGTTATGGAATTGCTGATCATGGCATATGCATGGTAATTTGATCCACAATTGCATTTGATTCCCGCTCTAACATTTCATTGCCATTTCAGTAAAACATCCAGCGCTAAATCGATTGTTGCTGTTTTACCTTATCTTCCATACTCAAAACAGTGCAAGATGCGCAAACGAGGATCTATTGTCACAAAATTGATTGCTAAAATGATGTGCAATGCTGGATTGACTCATGTAAGCCTTTAAATCTTTATCTTCTTGCATGTTACTGACTATTCATGCTTACAGGTGATTACAATGGATTTACATCAAAAGGAAATTCAAGGTTTCTTCGATTGCCCCGTCGATAACTTGCGTGCATCTCCATTTTTGCTACAATACATTCAAGAATCAATTCCTGACTATAGAAATGCCGTGATTGTTGCACGCAATCCTGGATCAGCTAAAAAGGCAACATCTTATGCTGAACGTTTAAGATTGGGCATTGCTGTTATTCATGGTGAACAGAAAGACGCTGAAACTGATGAAATTGATGGACGTAACTCTCCTCCAAATGTTCCAAAAAATAGAATGAGTGATATATCGTCTGGATTCCCTAGCATGGTCGCTAAGGAAAAGCCGCCAATAAGTGAGTCTATGCTGATGCTTAATTTGTGGATCAAAAATTAAATCCCAAGATTAGAAATTTAAATCTTCCGATTTATTTTAATCTCTAAATCACTATCAATCCTTACTAATCTTAAACCTTATATTCCTCTCAATCCAGATGTTGTCGGTGACGTTGGAGGACGTATTGCTGTAATTGTAGACGATTTAATCGATGAAGTACAATCATTCGTATCAGCAGCTGAAGTTTTAAAGGAAAGAGGTGCTTACAAAATCTACGTCTTAGCAACACACGGTCTATTGAGTTCTGATGCTCCTCGTCTTATTGAAGATTCGCCAATTGACGAAGTTGTCGTCACTAATACGATTCCACATGAAATTCAAAAAATGCAGTGCCACAAAATTAAAACTGTTGATATTTCAATTTTATTATCGGAAGCTATACGTAGAATCCACAATAAGGAATCAATGAGCCATTTGTTCAGGAATGTGACACTTGAGGATTAAAATAATAGTTTTTTTTGTCAATAGATTTTTATCCTGCATACTATTGAGGATACACACATTACTTATGCTATAATGTTGATAATGAATATTTCCATAAAACTAGTAATTTTTATTTCCATCCACACAGCCTTGCCGTGATTTTCCATTGAAGCTAGAAATTTTCCTATTTGTATATTTTTTGTCACCCTGTTCCCGTGCAGTCACCCTGTTCTTTTTAAAAATGAAAGTTTGTCACCCTGTCCTCGCAAAAAATGTAGAAATAATAATTTTTTAACCTTTCGGATTATGAGCGAAAAGATTTGCGTTAAAATGACCAAATTTAAAAAAGAGAAATTAAATTTTATAATGTGAGAATAAGCTTAATAAAAATTAAACACACAGATATGAACTTATGATGATTTTCAAAGGATATATGAGCCTTTCCACGCGAAAATGAGACTCGGTATTTTTTTGGTTTTGACTTAATAAAACCATAAATAATGGTCCATACTATAGTATGTTATATATTTTTGGAAAGCTCTCGAGTTAAGCTTTCAATGTGGGTGAAGAAAAATTAATTATATTATCAAGGGTTGGAAACTTTCAGGTTTGAAACTGTCGATCAACATACATTTTTGCGCGACACGCTGTGCTTTACTCTTTAAAGCAAACAGGATTATTTTAATTAAATTAGATTAAGTAAATAAGGTATTAATGCAAAAAGGAAAGTTTTTCAAATTATTTTGCTTGGTTTTATTTTTATGAGCTATCAAACCTTGGGAATTTTTCTGTTCTTTTTTTATAAAAATGCTTATATCTTGTCCAAACATTCGAATTAATCGATGATTTAAACGCTGTTTATCTTATTTTTTTCATACTTTAAATTTAAGCTCAAAACTACTTCCAAGGGGTGGAAACTTTTGTAAAAAAAGTTATCAACCCTTGATTTTTTTTTCTTTTTTTTCTATTTAAACTATTAATTAAAATTGTTAATAAATATTATGAACCTAGAATAACATAGTTTTTATTAAAACTAATAGAAAAACATAAAAACTTAAAAAAAAATTAATGTATAAATGATTTTTCATGGTTTTTCTTGGAATCTGTATCAAAATCGTCTTTTTATACTCTGATTCCGTTTCTGATTCATTAATAATTAATGACAATGAGATACTGAGATATAAAAAGACGATTTTGATACAGATTCCAAGAAAAACCATGAAAAATCATTTATACATTAATTTTTTTTTAAGTTTTTATGTTTTTCTATTAGTTTTAATAAAAACTATGTTATTCTAGGTTCATAATATTTATTAACAATTTTAATTAATAGTTTAAATAGAAAAAAAAGAAAAAAAATCAAGGGTTGATAACTTTTTTTTACAAAAGTTTCCACCCCTTGGAAGTAGTTTTTAGCTTAAATTTAAAGTATGAAAAAAATAAGATAAACAGCGTTTAAATCATCGATTAATTCGAATGTTTGGACAAGATATAAGCATTTTTATAAAAAAAAGAACAGAAAAATTCCCAAGGTTTGATAGCTCATAAAAATAAAACCAAGCAAAATAATTTGAAAAACTTTCCTTTTTGCATTAATACCTTATTTACTTAATCTAATTCAATTAAAATAATCCTGTTTGCTTTAAAGAGTAAAGCACAGCGTGTCGCGCAAAAATGTATGTTGATCGTCAGTTTCAAACCTGAAAGTTTCCAACCCTTGATAATATAATTAATTTTTCTTCACTCACATTGAAAGCTTAACTCGAGAGCTTTCCAAAAATATATAACATACTATAGTATGGACCATTATTTATGGTTTTATTAAGTCAAAACCAAAAAAATACCGAGTCTCATTTTCGCGTGGAAAGGCTCATATTGTGCTGTTATTATGACTTAATAAAATACTGTCAATAAAATTAATTTTTATTATTTAATAACTTTGTTTTTCAGGAAAAGTTTTTATTACATGTACTGCAGACAATGTGTATTTTATTGCTTATTGTTCTAGAAATTTTTATAGACGTTTTTTAACCGTTAAATTTTCAAATATTTTTGAACTGTTATTTTTCAAATATTTTATAACCGTTAAACTTTTAAATATTAATTGACGGTTGTTTGTTCAAAAATTCAGATTAAAACCTTTGAAAATTCCAAAATTGCAAAAATCCAGCACGTGAAATGAGAACCGTGTGAGATGTAATTTAAACTGTTGCATCAATTGATTTAACAAACATATTAATAATTCAGTCGGCTGATTGAATATTTATGAGCCAATTGAAATTTATTATTAAAATTTTCAGCATAATAAATAGTAAAAATTACAATTTAATTATATGAACGGGAAAATGAGCTTTTAATAATATTTAGATGTATTACACAATATAGAAATAGATAATTTGATAGATTAATTGCTGGTTTATTTGCTACTTAATCAAATCAATTCCACATCAATTGACAGGTTTTTAATCAGATCTGATTTTTCGACAAAAGTTCTTGAAAGAGTCTGGAAATTATGATTTTACCTCAAATATTACGACTAAAAGGATTAAATAACAGAAAAGCAGCAAAAACTAAGTTTCTAAAACTTAAAACAATCTTTCGAATCCTTTGACTCTTTAGGGATCATTCTACAATGATTTCAATCAAGAATTGTGATTTTATGACTCTAGACGTTAATTAAGGCTTGATATAGGATAATCGAAGTATCTAAACCGCCGAAAAAGGAAGTTTTTTGGAGATTAATTGATCAATTCGTCTCTCAAGGTCAAGATCGTAGTTCCTGAGGATTATAGCATCCCTAAAACCATTTTACATTTTAACTCATCCCTTCCTAAACGTTTGACGTCACTATTGAACAGCCAATTATCGACATTGAATTCCAATCCAGAAACAAAGAAGAAACCGAAAAAAATTGTAAGCCTGAATTCTTTTGATTCTCGACACATTTTTTCAAAGGGAATTACTTTAATTTAATAAAGGTTTACTGCGAATATAGTAAATGGCTTTTTAATTCAATTGATTGGTCCGTGTATAGGAATTTCCTATAATTCTGAACCACGCTATCAAAGCGATAGCCACAAAGCTTCACATAAGTCATTTCTAATTCTATTTTAAGCATGCACACAAAAAAATAAATGCTCAAAAAATTATTTGGCCGATAACCGAACAGAATGGAAAATTTTCAACATTAGTGGACTCTGTGATTCAAACATCACCGCACAGTCGTCAATGATTACGGAAAATTTATGCTTTAATAAATTGAAATGACTGAAAATTATTATTTCAATATCAATGCCGTGTTTACTTCCGTATTTTTGTGTCATCTTCCAATTATTTGATAATGATGCTTGTAGCAGCTTGTAGAACATGTTGTCATAGATATCAATTACAATCAATGCATCAATATTTCTGGGAAGTTCCTTTATAGTTTATCGAAGATGTTTCTGGAAGTTGAACTGATATTAAGAACTTTAAACTAATTATTAGTTATGGAACTGGATGATAAGCAAAAATTGCTTTAAAGTGGAATTGGCATCGACCAAGCTCAACACAATTTTATGTCATTCAGCTTGCATTTCTATAGAAAACCTTCTAACCAGTTTCATCCAATTTTATGTTCACAAAGTCTTAAGTCAATGACATTTCTATGAAGTAACAGGTTAAACCTCTCATTTTAATAATCGAAGATGCTGTTGTTTATAAATTTCAAATCACGTGCGCATTTCTCTTTCCTTAGTAATTTAACGACCTAGCTATAGTGTATGGAAATCAAAACTTTATGGCTACCTTAATATTACATCAAGTCATGTGATTTCTTTGATGCTGATTATAGTGTTATGAAATCATTAACTTTAGTTAATAATCTGTCATTTGGGAGCGTCTAAAGTTTTACAGCTACTCATCATTTATAGCATCTGGGAAAATGTTCTTGGATTTTGATTTTGACGCAATTTTCAGTTGTTGAAAAAGGAAAATTTAAAATTCTTTTTTGCTTATTTTGAGTTCTAAGCTAATTTTTCAAATAAGGTCCGTTGATTCGTCTGACTGCTTTTTAATCTCTACTTGATCCCTACACTGATCAAGCTATCTGACTGTTAAAAGTTCTGCCATACAAGTTTTCGATCATATTGCAGGATCTGAGTAGTTGCGTAACCTGTGAAGCAGTTTAGAGTCTCGTCCTATTTTCCAATACGAATGCTTAAAGAAAGCGCTTTACAAGGAATTAAGGGACTACTAATATACTCAAAGATGAATTTAAATGTTTCAATAAATATTCATCGACCTCATCTACGCACAATGAAATTAAAATTCAAATAGGATAGTTGTGCTGATCGAAATCACATGACTTTGCTTATAAGCTGAGGGATTCCCAGTAAATAATATAATAAACCAAATTAAACTAGTAATTTCTTGAGAATTCTGGCATAACTTGAAGACATAGAAGATTAAACGACGTTAATCGTCTGAAAGTGATTTTGATGGTTACTTTATTAGACTTAAGATTGTTAATACTTCAGAAATTTGGTTTTAAATCCTAAATATAATAAATTGTTTTTAAAAATGACAGTACGAATCTAAGAAAAATTACCAAATGTTTATGTCATGAATCGCGTTTAGATGGAAATAACAGAAACAAACTTAGACAGCATAAGAAATTTGTGGTGACAATATTCTAAGCTTTAGCCAGGTCAGTTTCAATCTTTGTAGGATGTTAAATCACTGTTCCTTACTGAAGACCTTACATGCAAAAATCAATTTATAAACTCTTTCAAAAATCCAGTCTATTTCCAAGTATGAATAATAGAAAGCAATTATATTACTTCATTTATTGGACACAAGGATTCACAAATCTGAATATTTGATATGTTTTGCTGCATAGGTTAGAAGCTGTCTAGAAAAGACCAAGACAAAGTCTTTGAAAACATTTAATTTGTATTAAGGGGTCGTTCACATGTTTGTGGTTTTAAAATTGGTGCTTAATGTAATTCGGTCTTTATTGTGACATTCTGGTTTGATAAAGG